GTACTGTCCACTTCAGCGCGCCGTTATACAGGAAGAATCTGTACTACACCGCAGTCGAGAAACCCGCTCAAGCCGACAAAGTCATCCAGCACATGGCCGACTGGATTCTGGCGCGCCACGCTGACGAGAGTGGAATCGTCTATTGCTACACCAAGGCAGTGCGTATATGTCTTTACACCAAGTTCGGTGTCGACGATTGATCTCGTCGTAGGAGACACAGAAGGTCGCCGATGCTCTGCGTGAGGCGAGTCAGGGTCGCATTTCTACAGGTGTTTACCACGCGGATATCAAGGACCACGAGAAGGAACAGTTACACGAACGTTGGCGTGCTGGTCGTATCAAGGTCGTCTGCGCGACAATCGCCTTCGGTTTGGGAATAGATAAGGCGGACGTGCGATTCGTGATTCACCATACGATGAGCAAATCCCTGGAGAACTACTACCAGGAGTCCGGACGCGCGGGACGCGATGGAAAGGATGCTGAGTACGACAGTCAAGCCTTTCCACGTTGTCACAGTCGGACTCATCGTCTTTCAGCTGTATCCTCTACGTTCGCGCACAAGATGCCTTCGGATACGCGGATATCATCAAGAACAACGAGGGCGTGCGCAAGGTCGAGGAAATGCTCCGCTTCGGCTTCGATGTTGAGAAATGCCGCAAAGTAGCTTTCGCGCAGTACGTGTTACCACAAGCTGTGCCTTTGAGTGAGCACTGCTGACCGCGCATGAATACTTGATAGGCACTTCTCTGAATCGGCTGATCTTTCACTTACTGCTTGGGCCGACGACGGCGATGCGTCTGGTGCACTGGGACGATGTGGACACTGTGACAACTGCACGCGAGCACCGGACTCTATCGTCTCACGCGACATCACCGAAGATGGCTGGCGAGTCCTCAACATCGTGGCGAAGGGTGTCCAATCCGTGGTCAACCTTACCCTCGCGGACGTCGCAGGGGCGCTACGCGGTACAGGACCGAAGGCAAAACAGTTCAATCTCACAGCAACATGCGGAACCAGTACCCTCAGCCCGCGCCTAGCCGAACTCGTTGTCATACGTCTGTTGCTGACAGACTACCTCCAGCAGAAGTATGTCGGGAATGCGTACAGCACCAACGCATATCTTGTGCCGGGAAAGTACGCTCCTGGCCTCCTTGGTCTGCGCGGAGATAGCGAGAATTGGCCGACTCGCCTCGAAGCGCGATACGTCGAGGCCGAGAAGACGAGGAGGAAGAGTGGCGCTGCGGGCAAAGGACGTGCGGAAGCGAAGGGAAAAAGAAAGCGTGGGAATGAAGAAGAGGTGGAGGACGATGTTGAGGACGCCGACGAAGTCGCAGACAGCGACGTGCCCCGCCGCAAGGCGCGCAAATCTACATCGCGTAAGAAGACAAAGCCTACGGAACCCGAGGACGATGACGACGATTGGGACGCGGTTAGCGACACCGAGCCGCCAGTGAAGACGCCGGCGAAGAGCAAGGGAGACAGGGCATCGCCTCAGCCACTGATGCGCGCGTTTGCGGCTGCGCAACGGGCGTCAGGTTCTGGCTTGCGTGCTCCGGCGTCTGCTTCTCGCCCACGCAAGCCTACTTCGGCTGCCAAGCCGCGTGCGCCGGGTTCGAGCTCGAAGCAACCTGTGGAGGTCCAATCGAGCGACGCGGAAGAGGTTGAACCAGAGCTTCGCCTGCCATCTAAGCGCGCGCGCCGACGATCCGACGAAGTGCAAACGAGCGACGCAGAGGAGCAAGAAGAACAGGACATGCTGTCCGACTTCATCGTTGCTGATGACGATGAGCCGTCGCCACGGAAGAAGCGGCGAGCTGTAGCTGCCGCGGATGAAGACGATGATGATGAAGACGATGCACGTAAACTCGTGGCGGACCTCAACCGCGCAGCAGCGTCTGGACCAGGCGGTTCGTCCGATGTAGAGGAGGGAGGCTGGGACCGTGTAGTACGCGGTGCTCCTTCGAGGAGAAAGGCCAAGCCGCGGCCGTCGACGACGTCCACTGTGCGGCAGACCGAGCTCGAGAACGGTGTCCTCGAGCTGTCGGACTCGGATTAGTCTCTTTCTTGAATATGTCATTGCGCATTTTCCTGCTTTCGATGTAGCTTTCACGATGCTGTGGAGTGGATAGTCTGTATTGTGTCTGTGTATGTATACATGTATGGGTATGAACGATGTAGTGCGAAGCGATGCGTCATGTAGCGGACTCCAATAAATTAATGCTATGTGTCTTCCCCAGTCTTCATTTCTTCGAATAAGTCATGTCTACAACTCCCGTGCGGACGACGAGCCACCATGCGCATGCGTGCTCCTTTTCTTAAGAGCGCTGCGCACTATCTTCCGCCGGTGTTGCATATCAATACGTTCGCCGTGCTCGTTCTCCCAGCCGTGACCGGGCGCCGGGTATAGAGCCAGGTCGCGAGGGTATTCCTCGCCTGGTGGCGGGCTGCGGTACTCGCCCGTGTTCGTCCACAGTTGGTCACTGAAGGTAGTTCAAATGAGCATACTAACTCGGTGGATGTGTGATTGAGGGAGAAATCATACCCTCGCTTGTTGTACCACCCGATCCGCCTCGTGCGCAGCGGTACAGGCGACGGACAAATGAGCCGTTCATCCCAGCGCACACCACGAGGTACTGGGCCAGCCAATTCGAACCTCGTCTGCGCCATGCCCATACCGGTATCCCCGAGCAAGGTCTGCAGCTGCGCCGACATCTGCGCGCGCGACGGTGCGTGGTCCATTGCCTCGGTGTCGCTTTGCACGCCCGAGTCGCGGCGCACACGCGATGGACGACGAAGGAGCGGGAGGTCCTTCACCGACCCGACATCGCCCTCGGGCATCGAGCGCATGGGCTGCGGCCACGAATCGGACATGCGCGAGCCTACCGATGCGCGTGCAAGTTCCGTGGGAGAGAGTGACGAGGAACGGCGGTCGCGCTCGTATCGTGCGCCGGAGACAGAGGACAGGGAGTTTGACCGCTCACGCCGCGAACCCGAGCGCACCATGGGCGCCGCAGGGACTTGGGGTGGCGGTTGCGGCACATCACGACGGTCCCAGCCTTGCGGAGGCACCTGAGGCGCGTAGCTCGGGCGACGCTCGCGCATGACAGGAGCAGGCGTGGCGGTATGCCGTGCGGGAATGTGAGACGCATTGCTCTGTTGGCGTTCTCTAAGCACTGGTGCGGGTGTGATGCTCTCTCTGCGCTCGCGAGCATGTGCGTTGCTCTCCCGACGCTCGCGCGCCGGCGGGGCCGCGGGCATACGTTCCCATGTCTCTGGCAGCTCGCGCATAGGCGCCAGCCCGGGCGGCGGCGGAGGCTGCTGTTGCAGCATGCGGCGCCTCTCCGCCTCTTCAGGGTCAGAAGCCGAGCGGCGAGGTGCGGGGCGACCCATATTTGCGCGCACGGGCAGAGGCGCGCTGAGCGAATGAACGGGCTGCGGACGACCGGCGGGTGATGGCGGAGGCGGGTGACGCGGCCTCGGGATTGGCGAGACGACGTAGTCGTATGTGTACCCATCTTGGCCGCGGAAGGAGATGACGGGCTGTTGTCCGTAGCCAGCGGGAGGAGTGAATGGGTAGGCGCCGGGAACAGCCATTGAAGGCGAGGTAACCCCGTGATGGTGTTGTTCATCGCTATCCGTCGAGCTCGCCGAGCCTAGTATCCGAATGTGTCAGTATGAGCCAGATATAGCGAAAGACATGCATATATGTACCGGATGGAAGGGGTACGTTGAAGAACTGGTTTTGTTGCTCGTTGAGGTCCACCGGCACAATTGCCCTCGGGTCCCTCAGCGCAAGCTCAGGGTCGGCCCAGCCGTCCCCACGCCCGTTCTCCTCTCCGGGTACGAAAGAGTACACGCTCGCATCGTCAGAGTCAATGGGAGAGCCGCCCGGTGTCTTCGAAGCCGAGCTTGATATGACACTCGGTTCGTAAAGGTGTATGCGGGGGCGACTAATCGAGCTGAACTCGCGCTTGATTTTCCCCGACGCCGGTGGCACTAGCGGGCGGTTTTCCTTCTTTGCGCTTGTGCTGGCGCTCGAGCTGGGCGTGCGAGCCAACGAGCGCGGAACGGATGATTTGGCGGATGTCGCTTGTTCGGGGACGGAGGGCACCGAGCCCGAGCCGGGGCGGAAGAAAGAGAAGGTGCGCGGGATGGGGATAGAGCCCAGGTTGAGTACATAGTTCTGTGCGTGCTAGTCAGCGAGAGCCCACACATCATTAACGATCGACAAGAGCGGGGCGACGGGACTCACCATCATCGTGAATAGGTCGTTAGGCGAGATGCGGTGCGGTGCGGTGCGAGAATAAGTTGATAGCTAACGGTGCAGGACGAGCGCGAGAGCGGTTGATGATACGAAAGCAAGATAGCCTGGAAGCATAAGAAAGCGAGTTGAACAAGGGCGTAGCGGCTCGCGATGAAAGGGGCTTCAGGTCCTTTATGGCCCTCGGCGTCCGTCCGTGGCCAACGCTTGAAGCTGCATGGACACCTGCAGGCCCCTTTCCTCCCGTCATACTCACCACTAGCCCGGTGCGGACTCCGTGCGTATGTGGAACCATCAGGGTGCATGCAGCGCACAAGACCCGGGCGTATATCACGGATTGTGCATTGCGCGGTAGCATGCCGCAAACGCGAGGCTACCGTGCCGGGTGATCGGGCGGTTCCACTGCCTGTTGTGTGCTCTGAGACGAGCACGGTTGCCATAGTAGGAACGCGAGAGGATGCAGCAATCGGATGGCCGGGTCCAAGGGCAGGTCTGGGGAAAGAGACGAGCAGCATCGCGGCTGGGAACGGAGCTTCGGGACCTGCCGGCGCCCACAAGACCAAACCTCGAGGCAAATACGCCATCGTAATGCGGGGCATGCGGGGGCTCGCGTAGCGGCTGCACCCTGCCCAGACTTCAATACCTGCGCAGACGCTCCAATCGCCGTCTGATGAGGTACGTCAAAGCGCATATGTATCGTCGGAAATCTGCTACACGCCAGAACAGTGCACCGCCGGAAAAGGCGAGCGATTCCCGGGCTGGCCACAGACTTCTGACTGAGGACGTCGGCCTACTAGCCTAGCATCGCTTAGATAGCTCTTCGGATGTGGCTAGAATGTGAATGGCAAGCATAGGCAGGGTGCTGTACGCAGGGATAGTCAGTAAGCGGCTTGGTCATGACTTCATGCCACTTACGCACGGCTGAGAACCCTCAACTCCTCTACCGCTCTTTGTCCTTCTCATCTTCTCATCTTCGATTCCAACCAGATTTGGCACAGGCGCTAACATATGAGAGTAATGGTCAAGGACGTAGCGACTGAGGTGGCGAACTTGACTAACCGCAAATAGAACAACCGAGACCTCACACGATCCACCTCTCGCGTGAGGCTCGAGCCAGAGTCGGAGTTGGGCTAGGGTGCGCTCTATGAAACTCGCGAAGTCGCTTGCATCATCCACGGGTATCGACACGTCAGGGAGAGAACATCAGTGGCATAGCGCGCGTCCCGTGAGCGACTCAGGGTGCTTTCTGTACGCGGCCGTCAGTCAACCGCCTCGTCTTGCGTACGTGAGCTTGAGCTCGTACCAGCGTGGACGTGGAATAGTGATCCTATGACCCTTACTGAACCCATTGTCGGCTCTCTGTCTCGTTCTACATTGGTGGTCTGGAAAACCTGTCGTGTGCCTCCAGAACGACGAACTGACCGACCTCGCCGGCTTCATTCCAGCACGCTACACCCGAAGGGTCGGTCCCATGAGCTTCTCGTAACGAGCCGCATCGTCATCGACCTAGCCGTTTGATAGGAGCACCAGCTCAGGATGAGGTCTGCGAGCAGGGATGGGTAAGCGGAACAGCCATGCATTCATGGACATGAGCGCGTACCAGAGCCAATCTGCAATCCGCGCGCGCGTCATCGCTGCCTTTCCCTCGCTGCCCTCTACCCCTGCGACTCGTCCCGTCCTTCGTCACCACGAACGTTCTTGCCGCGTTCACTGGGGAAGAAGGGTCGCGATATGCAGCGCGATGGCTCTATGAAGGTCATATGCATATCCCACGATCTCGTAGTCGTGTGCAGCGCTTGTCGGGTGCGGAGCCGGGGCTCTATGAACTCGTCGAACCCGTGAGCCGATCTTGAACAGCGAATGTTGCGGCAAGCCTAGAAGCTCATGTGCGAACAAGGCCGCCTCCGAGTCCATGTAGTTGCGTAGATGGATGTCTGCTGGAGAGTTAGTTAGAGTTAGTTGGTCGTCATCTATGGCTTTCACGAGCGGCTACGCACGGGTATCTTCCTACGGTACGCGTCATCGCTCTGAACGCCCTCTGCCTCTACCCTTCCCCACACCAACGTCTGCAAAAATCGGGTCAACGAATGGCCACGCTTCGCGTCTATTGGCACGTACCGAATGTCTCGTGAGATGATTGTCCTCTGCCTCTACCCTCTGCCATGACATAGCCAGGGTATGTAGAATGATCATCGCATGCAGCACCATATCCGGGTTTGGGTAGATAGCCTATGAAACCAATTAGTATGTGTTCACTCCTCACAGACGCGGGTACGCACCATCTCCACGAGTAACCCTCTACCCCAGCCTCCAGCGCATCCGAGAAGCAACGTTCGTAGTGACGAGAGTTGCCAGTTGGCAGGGACCACTGACACGACGTGTACTCGATCATCCACGACGAGCACGGACAGACTAAACTCCCGTTCATCATCTCGCACGATCAGCCAGCCGTGTACACGATGCACAGAGACTGGGTGCGGACTATGAAGCTGGGCGCACGGACTGGAGCAATTGGCAGCGTCATAGGTCCAGAAGGAGTAGCAGAACGTACTCGTCGAGCCAGGGCACATCAGTCTCGCCGCCATGACGCACCGAGCTTCCATTGATCAGGACGACATGCAGCATGCGGCATGCATCATGTCGCGCACGCCCAGTACCCAGGAATTGCGAGTCAGTATACAGATGAACAACGAGAGATATCTGCTAGAATACAATGAACACCGCGCGTACAAAGCCAGAAATATACGTATATCCAGTTGCCCCCACCCCAGCTTCCCACGAACTCGTACAGCGATACACACGCCGCGGACGTTCAGCCGCGCCTGCTCCCGCGCCACCCGCCGCCGCCTCCGAGCCCGCCTACGCCGAAGCCTGCGAATGCGCCGCCGCCCTGCTGCGGAGGTTGGATGGGCCCTGGGGCATCGCGCTCGCCGGCTGAGATGGGCGAGGGCGTGCTGGGCGTTCCGGGCTTTGAGTGGAAGGAGGAGCGGAAGCCGGATACGGGTACGGCTTGGATGGAGAGGAACTTGTTCGGCAGGGGGCGGTCTTCCGTGTTGTACTGCGAGTAATGGTCAGTTATTAGAGAATACGGGAAAGAAGAGAAAGGAGATATACCTGGAACTCGAGTCCGATACCGTCCGCCTCGGACACGTCGAGTAGCTTGACGAGCCTCTTCCCGATCCCGTTGATCTTCTCTACGTCGTCCTTGCTCCTCAACCACAGCTGGATCCTGTCCACCTTCGACCTCAAGCTGACAACCGCCCCGCAAATCTCATCCCCGTCGTCCAGCTCCTCGCCCACAAGCGCCATCGTAAGCCACTGCCAGCACCGATCCAGCAACTGCGGGTTGTTCTTCATCGTGAGCACCCACTTTCCGCCGTTCGCGTTGGCCTCGTCTTCCCACATGGGCTTGATGCCGCGCTTGAAGAGGTGGTAGTTGCTGTTGCGCTCGAGCGTGCTGGGCGGCTTGAGCCAGTTGAAGTACCGGCAGTACGACTCGACGGTGTCGAATTCGCCGATGGTGGTCAGACCGGCCTCGTACTCGCCTGCCTCGGCGGGCGCGGGGAAGCCTTCCTGCGTCGCGCCGGCACTCGGAGGAACGAACGCGCCCTTGGACTTGCAATCGTGGTAGATCGTCCTGTAGCGTAATTCATTCAGTCTCGTGATCACCATATCCAGCCGTGAATGGAACGTACCAAGTGAACTGCAAGGGATGCTCGGGTGCCTTTGTCATGACACCCGGCGTCTTTGGATCCTCGATCTGCTCCGGCTCCGGCGGCATAGGACTCCCATCAACCGAGAGCGTACGGTTGCGCGCATGATAGTGGGCCGTGATGGCGTCCAACGACGGGATATTCTTGTATCCCTTGATCTTCTTCGCCACGGGCGCGCTCGCGTCGTCGAGCTTGTCCACGTTCTCCTTCTTCAGCGGCTCGCCGCCCGTGCTGCCCTCCTCGGCATTGCCCGGCGGCGGCGAGGTGCTCAGCGCTGCGGGGGACGTGCTGCGCGTGATCGGCGCGTTCGCCGTGGTGCTGTCCGCCGCGCTCGCCGTCGTGGTCGTGCTGTTCGCGCTTCCCGTGCGCAAGAGTGACGCCGCGAGACGCGGGCGGGACGCGCCGGACGTTGCCGCCGACGCCGCATCGCCCTTCCCGGCGTTGAGGCGCGCGGCGAGCTCGTTCAGCGATGGTGGCCGCTTGCCGGCGGACGGGCGCTCGGGCTTGTCCGTACTGGGTACCGGGGCCGGCGCGGGCGGTTCGGTGGTGGCCATGGTGGTATTGTTGTATGTCGTGGCGGTTGGGAGACAAGGCTCTCGCGCGCGTCTGATCCTCCCATCGCCCTAGTTCAGATCTGGCAACCCTCGGCCATCGCACAATCATTCGGGCACGGCCGTCCGCCGAGCGTGTATACGCAGCAGCCGTGCGCTGTGTCTACACCGCGCTACGTGTCCCCTTCGGGCTGCGATTCCGCTTCAAGTCGAACATTGAAACAATGCACGCATGCATGAACATATAGTCGGCGACGTCATCTATGGGTCCAGGGCACGTTCCGACATGCCCTGCAAGTACTAGAGCGCTGCGTGCCGCTGCTGAAACCTACCTTGAGGCCCTTTGTATAGACCTCCTGCTTTTACATGCCACCTGGTCTTTACAGGCTCTGAGGTATATTAGCGGCGAGAGCTGATCGCTTCAGCCGGGACATTGGAGGAATGACGTGTGAGACTGGCTGCGGCACGGCGCGGCGATGCAGGCTCGGAATGTTCTCGACGAGAGATGCTACAGTATCTGCTTATTGCTCGTACTGTCCCACTGTCAAAAACCCGCTGAAAGCGTCGTCACTATTTTTTTATTATCTGAGCGCTGGAGCCGTTCGCTGTTGAACTTCAAGCTCAGCATGAGGAAACGAACACGCAACGGAAAGAGCAGAGATTGATCGGATCACGACGTGTTCTGGCAATCGCCGGTGGACCGGTGCCTGACACGGATTTTGCAAGTGGGAAACCTAGTCAAGCTAGGTAATTCTTTGTCTCTGCTCAAACTATGGTGCGAAGGAATAGCACAACCATCATGTAATGACATACATAACCTCCATGGTACATGAATATACTGGATACTGGCAGAATCGTTGGCTCTTGTTGGCGCTCACTGAACTCCAACTTCGATACACGGCAATGTCGGTCAGTCTGCGAAGTGCGGGTGTCCACTTCGCCTCGACATTTAGTTCATCGAATACCTGTGCAAAGCGAATCAGCAAAGGTTCGTTGAGATGAGAGTGGAAGGATGTGGTAGAATCAGGAAGTGCGAGTTGTCGACCTGTCCGAGCAACGCAAGCGCGGCACGGTCCGCCTGACGTGCAAATATCTCGCATTCATCACGAGGTGGGTAGAAGATGGCATACGCACATATATCAACCGACAAGATTGTGTTACGTTGAGTATAAAGGGCGGACGTGCAGGCGAGATCAGCTTCCAAGTTCCGATGTAGTCTCTTCCTGCCAAGCGACCTGGAGCGGAGACCGAATAGTGCGAGCCCGAAATGAAAGCGTATACTGGAGTACAGGCCGGTATGGTCCGACTTCCACGGGGCTCATAGCTGTTTGTTCATCGCCAAGTAGGTCATCCGATAGCATCGCAAGTCCAACATCCGTCCCAGGTGTCCTCCGCTGTCGTCGAGGTGTTTGGCCGGGAAGTGCGCGCACAGGAGATATACATCAAGAGCCTTGAGTCGTTTCATCGGTAACCCATATCGAGCCGCGTGCTTCCTTAAGATCATCAAGCAGCTGTACGAGCGTACTGACATTTGGACAGAGCTGTGTCCACTGTCCTACAGGCGCTCATATCCAGGAGGCAGTCCGGTGCGCAGAAGTAGACAGAAACGGCGAGGATAGGCTGGCGCATCCGTGTACGTCGCGGGAATGAAATCAATATGAAGCGTCGGCGGCGTAGAACACAAAGCTCGACGAGAGATTCAGAGAGCGAACGTTGCGCAAACACTCGGAGAAAATAGTGCTCCGGCTATCTCCGGTTTCCTCTCACGGTTGATCCTGTAAACGCCGCGCCGCTAATGCCGAATTGGCCTTTTCTTCTACTGTAACGGCCATCTATGTGATAGCTTTGACTTCCAGGCCAGCTATACAGAACTATGGCTCGCACACTCGATGTATGAGCGACTCACGCTGCATGGTAGAATGGGCATTACGATGTCGTTATATCCTGCCGAGCATGGTGGAACAAAACTGACGTATCGCGCTCACGCAGGTCCTATAGTTTGGAACTTTGTGCCGTCTTAGCATGTATGTCAATATATCCATTTAGCAACCTTGCCTTCAGAAAGTGCCTCTAAACATGGAGAACAAGGTCTTTGCTATACGATTAGCGCGCGACGCCGCACTCACGAAGGTATCATGAGCCCGGGCGTCAAGCTCGAATCTCGACATGCATCACAGCCTCTCTGGGTATCCTTGGTGTCCAGGGAGCACAACTGTTTGGTTCTACTTACATAGGGGGGCCAGCGCGATCGTCAAATAGACCTTCCTTCCGCAGTGTAGCTCTTGAACATGCCCACCATATCGCCCACCCAGGAGTCGGACAAGGAGAGAGTGCTCGATGCGCTGAACGGGAGAGTCGCGTGGGTTTATTGCTTGCTTTCACGGAAAGTCTACGTGCTAAGTATGCTACCAGGGAACTAGCAGGCGCTAGGTACGAGCTTGTCATTCGAATATATGGGCCCTTCACTTACTTCCTGAAGGCAGACCCCCAAACGACGGGTCTCGGAGAACAGGTATGCTATCTCTTCACCACTCGTTCGAACGCTGTACTCACGAGCATATCATCAGACTCTTTGCTCTCCTGATAGGCGTCGACCGCTATGCTTCAAAGGCCATCGGAAATCTCTCAGGAGCTGTGGCCGACGCCGAACGGATGAGGACGTTCCTCGTCGAGCAAGATCCGCCAGTCAGGAGTCACCGCATCACGTCGTTGAAGAACGAACAGGCGACAGCGGGCCGCATCATCGAGAGTCTCTGCGCCCTTTGTGACGACGAAGGCATCCATCATGGCGATCCCATATTGATATACTACGCAGGCCATGGCAGCAAGCTCAGAAAGCCAGCCGACTGGCCGTCCGCAGAAACCCACATCCAGTGTCTTACGCCACACGATGCACGGATTGCTGGAGATCATGTCGACGGTGTCGTCTTGGACCTTACTTTCGGTGCTGTTCTCCACCGGCTAGCTGATGCGAAGGGAAACAACATCGTACGTCGTTGTACCTATGATCGCGCAGGAGCATTCCGTTTACGTGGAGACCAGACCGTTATCCTCGACTGCTGCCACTCGGGCTCGGCCACTCGCATCACCGACCAAAGCATTCCGCGCGGCGTCGAGTTCAAGGCCGCAGACGGAAAGACGAGCCTGGCGGTCAGCGCCTCCTACCAGAGGGACTTCTGGGACAGAGATGGGACGTCCGACGTGCGCGGATGCTGCCTCCTTCCGGCCTTCGCGAACACCGGACTGCAATCTCATACCGTCCTCGCGGCCTGTGCGTCGAATGAATCCGCATACGAGGACCGTCATACTCGGGAAGGGCGCTTCACGGCCGCCTTCCTGCGCGCGGTTCGGGTCGGAGGGACGGATACGATGACCTATTCCGAGCTTATGCGGCGCCTCGAGATCTTGCCATCGTAAGCGCTGGACATCTACGCATCTTTTCATTGTGGCTGATGAGCGTTTAGGCAGACGCCGCAGTGCGAGGGACGTGGAAAGGACACTCGTATACTCTTCGATAGAGGAATCGTCCAACGAGACCGCCCTTGCCACATCGTCGAACGAATCGGCAGCACGTATACTCTGTACGCAGGCGAGATCAACGGCGTGAGCTCGGGCGCGACTTTCGCGGTCTATTCGGACCGTGAGACATTCGCCTCCGGTGGCCCGTCCTTGGGCGAACTTACTGTCGACAAAGCCGGCCCGATCACCAGCTTACTGCTGCCAATGGAGGACTCTGCGATCGACTGGCCCGAGAGCGCCTCCGAGGCCGTTGCCGTCATGATCCATGTTGGACAGCAGAGCGCATTCCGCGTGCACGTTGACGCCCTCGCGCACCCAGCGCTTAGCACAGCCATCGAAGCGCTCGCGCAAGAGGTGCTTCACCCCACGAACTCGGATTCTTCTTGGGTCGGCCTTGCACTTTCCTCGCGCGATACAGCCCATCTGTCGCTTATCCCCCTCGGCGATGCGGTACAATTCGAGATACTGGACCAGCGTATCCGCGGGCTCGGGCTCGAGCGCCTCAACGGGACCGTTTCGGGGGACTCGACGTCGTTACGCTCCGCCTTGCGCTCTGCTGCACACTTCTTCTACCACCTCAGGTCATCGCCCATGAAGCAAGGCTTGAGCCGCGCTGTGGACTATCGTGTGCATGTCCTTGAGAAGTACAGGACTTCAAGGTCGGATATACCCATCACGGCGTACAAACCCACCGGCGAGCTCGTCGACGTCAAGTCTCGCGACGCGTTCTATCCCGAGATGCCAAGGAGAAGCGGAAACGACATACAACGCGCATTCTACGGTGTCGACGTTATCAATACAGCTCCGAAGGGATACGGCGATGGTCTATTCGTCTGGATGTTCTACTTTGACTGCAGTACACTGGAGATCGGTATGTGAAGCCGACGTGTCGACATCGCTTCCTCGCTGATATCTAGCTCGTGTATGTAGCCAGACTATGCGAGCCTCCCATTGGCAAATCCGTCAAGCCTCCTTTGCCCGCTGGCATGGATCAACCTCTCCCGCTCAACTTCGGTGACGCAGGCGGTCGCCCGCTCACGTTCGCTCTGCCAAAAGGGCGGGCGACTGACGTCGGGTTCATCCGCATCTTCTTTGCCACTCAGAACGCGAATCTGTTGAACATCGCTCAACGATCGGTGGTGCGCGGGACGCTAGTTGGACCGCGGTGGACGTCTGAGCCGGAGCTTTGGGATGTCATTACGATTCCGGTCGTTATGAAGTAGATGTATTGAATATTTCGAACGGCTGTATGTACTAGTCTTTGAATGGAGGAAGGATCCTTAGGCTGACATTGACAACTTACAAGTAGTAGCATAGGATTTTTGGTGTCACAAGGACTAGATACCCATCCGTAGGATCTGCAGACGGTGCAGATTATCCCAGACCCAAATTCACTGACGGGAACTGTGGTCGCAGGCTCCCTCACCCAACCAGAGCTCAGCATCACCCTCCCACGACAGCCTGAGCCGGCTGGCAAGAAGACATCTGAGATCTGGAATAATCTACATCATCTGGGATTCCTACGGATAGGTATCCACTGATTTCGAACTCTTTACCGCTGAAATCCTGAGGCAGCCGAAGCCGAAATGTATTAATATTGATAGCATCACCGGCATCTTCCGTTGTGCTCTCACGGCGCCCTCGCTTACGCCGCTAAGCAACTTGTGCTCTCCTCCTGACCACGACGAACTGTATACAATTGATCATCGATTGCCCTAGGGTGTTTCTTCTTGGCTCTAGTCACTGAGTTAGAGGCTGCTCTATACCGCTCATCAGATACCCTGAGACTGGCAGCGGTCTCAGTCGTCGCACCCCGGAGCTCGCGCGCCTCTCAATGCGACGTACACAAACCGGGAAGTTCGTGCTGATCGACCCGTTCAAATACAGCTTCCCTGTATGTATGTTACAGGCTTCGACGATATCTGACAAGTGGTGAAGACATGTACGTTGCCGATGCAGGTGTGATGTCGCGGCGTCAATTCTTTCCAGTGAATGGTTCTGAATTCAATTGCGTGTTGATTTGCCCACGACATTGACAATGCTCGAGCATCAAGCTCCTACAGGTCTAGAAGCTTCTTTTGGATCTCCATCACGCTCAAGATACGCCTCCTTGCCGTAGCTTATATACCGGCCATCGACGTGACTGTCATCGGTCTTCTGGCTAAGGCGCTGAGGGCGATTGTGTGCTTTCATCAGCCATGTCCATCGAAATTCCCGCTATTGAGGATCTATCACTCAATCTGGTGGGCAGTACTTGTGACTCAGCGAATACAAGCGGCTGATGTCTAATACGCTAGGATGCGGACTTCGACCTGGACGCGTTTCTCTCTACGCTTGACGTGCCGGTTCCATATCAACCCGAACCCTCCGCCGTGCCGGACGATAAGTGGGGCTTTGACCCTCGATGCTATAACCCTCGCAAGAGTACGGACGACTGGTGGAGGCGATACGAGGCGGACCGGTCACGGAAGTTCAGTCATCTCGATATGGCCATCCAGTCAATGCAGGGCGCAGTCGATGCGCAACAACAGCAGAGCGACTACAGTCAACTCCTCTTTGACCTGGGGTATCGGCTTAGAACTCGATACGAAGTCGGGGGTCAAGCCGATGACCTCGACAACGCAATCTCAGCGTTTAAGCGCGCTGTTGAACTTACTCCAGATGATAACCTCGGTAAATCGGTACGCCTTCATGAGCTGGGGAAGTCGCTCCTCTCGCGTTTTGATCGCACGGGGGAGACATCCGATTATGAGGCTCTCGCGGTGGCGTTTGACAGCCTGATTGATCGATCACCGGATGACGACCTCTTCAAGCTCAAAGCTCTACACAACCACAGCGCTGCCCTTATAACTCGATTCGCAAGGACTGGCGACATCCGAGATGTCGAGCGCTCCATTGCCATGCTTACGCGCGCGTATCGGCTAGTGCCAGACGGACGTCCTGGAAAGTTGATAATCTGCAGAACTCTTGGTGGCGCATTACTGCAGCGCTTTGAGCGTGTTGGAGAGCTCGACGATGTTGAGCAGGCCATCTCTGTGCAACGTTGCGCGGTCGAGCTCACGCGGGATCATCCCGACCACCCCTCCTTTCTCCTTTCGCTTGGCGTCTCGATCCTCACGCGCTTCGAGCGCCATGGAGCGCGTCACGACCTTGAAGAGGCCATCGAAATGCAGCGTCATGCGCTCGAGCTCACGCAGGACGGTGATCCTGCCCAGCCGACGCGGCTCAGCGAGTTATGCATATCGCTCGTCAAGCGCTTTGAGCACACTGGGAATATGGACGATCTCGAACAGGCCATCTCCTTCGCCCGTCGCGGCGTGGAGCTCGCGTCTAATGATGGCCGTGCAGACAAAGGAGGCCTATACAACAACCTTGGCTGCTCGCTCCGCACACGCTACGAGCATACCGGCGACCTCGAAGCTATCGAGGAAGCCATTCTCGTGCATCGTCGCGCTGTCGAGAAGACATCAAACAGCCATCCCAGCAAGTTCTCACGCTTAAGCAATCTTGGCAACTCGTATCTCTCACGCTACGGCCACACTGCGGAGCTCGCAGACTTGTGGGAAGGCGTCCTGGCTCATCGTAGTGCGGTTGATCTCGTACCGGAATGCCACCCCAAGAAGCCAGTGCTGCTCGGTAATATAGCCAACGCTTTGCATGCACAGTTCATAAGGCATGGCAGTTTTCCGGAAGATCTTGACGAGGTCATCTCGACACGCCAACACGCACTCAAGCTGGCCTTTCAAGATATATCTCTCACGACATCCATCTTGGATCATCTCTGCATGGACATGCGTTCTCGTTTCGAGCTCACCGGCGAGCTATCCGACATCACGAGCGCCATCTCTGCAGGGGAACGCGCTATTGAACTCAGAGGCCCAGACTCATGCTTGAGCTATGCCGCTCTTGCTGGATGTTTCCAGTGCCGTTTTGTATGTGCTGGAGATATCGAAGATGTCAAGAAGGCCGTCTCGTTATATCTCATGGCCGTAGATCTTGCCCCTGACGTCGATACGCGGTCAGGAACATTGCTGGCGTGTCTCGGTGACGCGCAAGAACTACTTTTCGAGTGTACTCAGGAGCAAACGGATTTTGACGCTGCTGTCAAGTCGCTCACAGATTCCACTCTGCATCCCGCCAGGAGCGCTCAAGCACGCTTGAACTCCGCTGAATCATGTGCTAACATGCTCTCAACGTATCCCACGTTCAGCACCATCGATGCTATCCTAGATGCGCACTCGCGCGTCATCGACATCCTTCCTGAGATCGCATGGCTTGGACACAACATCAGTCGGCGCTATGACGAGACTTCCCGCGTCGGAGCGCTCATGAGCGCCGCTGTTAGTGCTGCCATTACCGCCGGTGCACTGAAGAAGGCAGTGCAGTGGCTCGACGCCGGTAGAGCACTGATCTGGATGCAGGTTCTGTCGTTGCGCACGCCGCTCGACAACCTACAACTGCTCCACCCACGTCTAGCGGAGTCTTTCCGCGATGTGCAACAGCAACTACAATCAACCGTGCAGAGCACCTTCAACCCCGACGTCTATACATTCGATTGGATCGACGGTCCCGCACACACGTCTGGAGAAGATACCCACCGGCGACTTGCCATTGAGCGGGACAAGCTCTTACAAGAGATTCGAGGTTGCCCGGGCTTCGAGGACTTCATGCTTCCCAAGAGCTTTGAGGCTCTCTCATCGTCGCTGAAGCTTTCAAGCGGCTTCCTTGTCTTGATCAACGTCCACACGAGCCGCTGTGATGCCATCATCGTGCATGGCGATGGGGAGATCAGTACCATCCCGTTAGAAGAGCTGTCTGTCGAGCGTGCATATTCCTTGCAATCGCTCTGGGATGAAGGGCTTGCAGGTTACAGATCGCGTGCATCTGCCACCTCGCCGCAGGACGCTCTCGAAGGCGGTGGTCTGGACCTGGTTCCCGCCTCCGCAGTAGCACTTCACCGGCATACTTCGCGAGTGGAGGAGGACGAAGGTGGCCTCTTCGTCCGTGTCTTGGAATGCATTTGGACATGGATCATTGATCCAGTTCTGCAAGCTCTTCATGTCACAAAGCAGGTAGGTGCACATGCGCCGGTTCAAGAGCCGTTCTGATACATGTTACATAGGTCCACGACGGCAAACTGCCACACATCACTTGGTGTCCCACTGGACCGCTCATGCAGCTCCCTCTCCACGCCGCAGGCATATATAACGACCTTAACGGTCCGCGCGCCTACAACCTCATCGTCTCGTCGTACATCCCTTCACTCTCGGCTTTGGGGCGATGCATCGAAGGCACGATCAAATCGAACATCACCCCATCGGCGCTCGTCGTGACGCAGACAGCAACACCTGGACACTCTCCGCTGCCTGCCGCTGAAAAGGAAGGCGCCCGTCTGAAGCATATCCTGGATGCGGAGGGCATAGCGAGCGAGGTGTACAACCATAATCTGGCCACCGTTGAGTCTGTCCGGTCGGTGATAGCGAAACATCCTTGGGTACACATCGCGTGCCATGGCTCGCAGAATCGAGCGGATGCGACCAAGAGCGCATTCGCGCTTTACGACGGTCCACTGACCCTCGCGGACCTTATGCGCACTGTGGCTGATGACGCTGAGCTCGCGTTCTTGTCAGCCTGTCAGACTGCTGTAGGCGACACGAAGACGCCAGAGGAGTCCGCGCACCTCGCGGCGGGGATGCTCGCCGTCGGGTTCAAGGGCGTCGTTGCGACCATGTGGTCGATCCAGGACGCAGACGCGCCTGTGGTTGTCGATGCGTACTATAAGAGGTTATTGGCGCTGAGAAGCTCGGGTGAGCTCGGACGAGGGGAGACGGGTGCGGCGTATGCGCTGCATGAGGCGACGAGGGTCTTGCGGGAGAAGGTGGGAGAGAGCAACTTCTTGCGTTGGGTTCCGTTTGTGCATTTTGGCGCTTGATGATATGTTTGTGTCTTGTTCGTACTGTTGTAAAGCTTTATATCCTGGATCGTGCATCCGGACTGTGGTCAATTATCATGAGATGTACGACAATTGCGTTCGAGAACGGCGCGTAGGATAGACCTGTGATGGGCCAAGTGCTGATGCATGCCGAATGTGGTTTGCCGTAGCTTGGAAATAAAAGCATCATGAATAGGGTATAGGAAACTTTCAAATCAACTATGAGGGACGATGACAGTCAGATGCGAACACATGGCAGTCAGGCAGCGCAAGGCGCGGCTGGCGGGGCGCCGACTACTTAGCGCGAGCGCTGCGGCGGCCAGGCACGACGCCGCCTGCCAGGCAAACCATCTTGTCTCCTCCCATCTTCATGGCTTCTAGTCGAGACGAATAGTCACTCCTATTCCCAACATATGCTCTCCGCTCAAGCCATAGTACTATAACCTCGGGCTTTCAGTCAACCAACGGCCGACCAAACGGGCTCATTGGTTACCTGGGCGGAGATGGACCAGGTGCGTACATCATGCGGTTGATTGAGTTGGCATCTACTCATGTTTGACCCTCAGTGCTTCAGTGCTGGCTGGCGCTTGCGTAAGGCTTGACACGCTTACTGTGGCTTCTGCTGAAGGCATGAAAGACATGTTGATGGACGCGTTGTCATGTGGGTTGCGCCAGGTGGATGGTATATGTGCGGCTTCCTCGAGGGCAGACTGGTGCGCGCATTCTACCTCCAATTGTTTGACCTGTGCTCACATCCTGCTACTAGCTCTCGTTAATGTACAGGCTACCCACAACCACCCTCTATTCCCAGTGTACATACCCCTGCTCGCTGACCCGGTGCATCCGAGTAAAGTTGGATGAGGTCGATTCCTGACCACCATAATCGAAGGCGTATACCTACCCTATGCGCGTCTCCCTGCTGGAGATCAACGGCTTAATATACGACACTCTTGAAGCCCGACATCGTGTACCTATACGCGTTAACATCGATGCCAGCCCAGCCATTTCAACGTCACATAAGTCACCAAAATTGCGTTGCCCGCACTCGATACTCTACCATAATGGGCCCGACCAGCGGTTGCGGAGAATGACAGAATGCGACTCGGTCTGACGAGTCTTCTTCCTGACATTACGGTGGTATGTGTTGACATGGGGCTTCCAGCGCGCAGAGGTCCTTCGGCTTAATAGGCGTGCGCTCTCCAGTGAAAGCACCTGTGTGCCGTTGCCTTTAGCCCCGTGATAGGCCCTGCTTGGGATGCACCAAAGCACACAAACAATACTCGCGCGCGTACGATGACAAGGAGAAGTTCCCAATTTATATGCCACTTCAATATAGGGAGGTTGATGAAAGGTTCGGTCGCCGGCTACACGCGGTACAGTGTTCAGGATCTTCCTAGCGTAATCTCTCGTCATGTACATACCAGTGAACACGAGGTTTCTATGCGGCTCGCATGCGCAACAGGAGCGTCTGCCGATGTCGCTGAACTGGATATTATCGCGATATTTTTCGTGCGCGTGCTCGGCGTGTCTTACTTATCACTGTAGGGATGGTCCATTTTATAAACACTGGCACTGAATAGGATACATGACGGTTCGCAGAATGTGTCGGGGAAGGGGACGGGAGCGATCTAAGCCTCAAGTTGGACGTGCTTGGTTGAATAGACGAAACGCAAGTGCCTCGATACATCTCCCGCATCGCTTCATACTTCAATACCGCCCATATGGTACAGGTCCAAAGCCACTGGTTAAAATGAATGCCAGCGATTGGACAAAGACGCCCGAGAGCGGCGCGGTGTGGTGCGATTTCGTAGCTGTTGGGGCGCGCAGGACCGTGTATATGGCCGAAGCGTGGCAGGGCAGGGCAGGGCATAAGTATTAGCGCTCTGAGATGCAGGTTCGACTGGAGGTCCTCTAGTTTCCCAGAGTGTCGCGGCCTTATTGAGTTGGGAGAATCACGCAGGCAGAACGGCGATGCCAGGGAGGACAGAAGGCATCATGTAGTGCATATAGTTCAACGAGGCTACCATCTGTAGCCGCAAGTTAGACCCCGATGCAGAATGCAGCACTCAAGGACATAAATGATAGAGCGCACCTGGGCTAGCCATGCCCGTCGTCCCTCGATATCCTTCATACTTGGGCACTGTATTTGATTGTGGGGGAACACCTCGAAGAACCAGCGGCCTTGAGCAAGTGCATACTATTGCTTCGCTGCTGTTGCGAGATTGCGAATGGTAATCGACAGAGCGGCATGGAACTAATGTCTCTGGATGCTGTGTCCATTTCAAAGGAGCTATACTGGCAGATGCAGTGCCGGCGATATACATTCGGATTGGGCGGTGTACGTAGGTGTCCATTACTGTAATACGACCGAATCATCGGTAGCGAGGCGGTGTCAGACTGGTCGGTGCCCAGTCTCCATGAGCGCGCGTCCGTCGACCGGTCATAACGCAGAAGTAGGTTGACTGATAGTTGGTTTGTTGAAGTTTGGATGAAGGTGACGGGATGTTGCAACGAAAGGATTCCACAATATGATTGGCAAAATCCGCGACGCTCCCACGCTCGCTAATTCCGCGAAGCCAGGCGAAGCCGCGTCCTCTCTGTTTGCTCTGTGACCGTGAACGCCCACCTCCGAGGCTCCATCGCTCTATGGTCGGAAGCGGAGTTCAATCTATCCCTGCAATGCAGTCCCATGCTTGATGAGGATTCAATCTCTGTCATGCTATCTGACATTCGTAGGCTCCTCTACTCTGATGTCTATGGGCATGGCCTCGCGCTGAGGCTACCAGTACCTGCACCGTCACTTGCTTTTCCGTCGCCATGTATCCTTGGCTGCCCAGCGAGACGCCACTCTTCGAGGTGCGGCGGCGCCTTAATGCTTCTTGCAGCGGAAATACGTGGCGAAGATAAGTATACCGACAGAATTTCCATCTTTCCTTGCGAGTTCCGAGCCCGATGTAAACGGAAATGAACTACAACCATGTACTTACCTAAAAGATAGCATCTACAACCATCTAGAACATGCTTATACTGTGCTTCAGCGCCTTCAGTGAGTATTGGCGCGTCGAATCAACCTGGCACTTGCGCGATATGGATGCCGCTGTCCTTCGACACGCGGCTGGTAGAGGAAAGAGGCTGAGCACGAAGAGCTCGAACCTACTCTTCTTGCACTACTTGTTGCGAGAAAATAGCGGCCGAAATGAATGACTCCACGACTGCGTGCGTGCTTCCATTCCGCATAGTTGTCCTTGTACTCAGCTTCCGTCACAGCCGCAAGAACACGCGCTGAACGCGCAGAGAGTGCAGTGCCTCTTTCACCCTGATGTCGTCTATATAGGCCCGTCGTCGACCAGCACCTATCACTCTACTCTCCGTGATCCCTGCTTGCAATCAACCTCAACATGGTTCGTTTATCTCAACTAAGGAGCTCAAGGGTTGTTGTTGATACTCGAATAGACTTCTCAAGGGATACCTGAGGCACTACCTGGCCTCTCGGTAAGTCTCTCGATCAGGTCTTCCGGTGGTAATCATACTGACTGAGAGCATTCAGGTTGTGATTCATAACCTATCGAACACTCAGTGGAACATGTATTGTGTTACGCGGGTCTCTACAGACCTCGACGATGCCATCGTCACGACGCAGACGGCAGTAGATCTAGCGGGCGAACTTGGGCCCAGCTCCGCTGAGCTTCTGTATCATCTAGGGTTTCGGCTTCATAGCCGGTTCCAGTTGACCCAGTCCCTCGGTGACCTCGGCCTTGCGATTTTGGCGCTGCGGGACGCCGTTTCTCACACGCCTGATGGTGATCCCAAGCAGTCATCACGACTGACCTTTCTCGGTACTTGTCTGCACGAACGCTATAGCCGCACAGGCGACCTCAAGGATCTTGATGATGCTATCACGATGTTCTGTGCAGCCGTCGAGTTCACACAGGACAATGATCCCTACTGGCCAATACGTCTGAGTCTCTACGGCACGGCCTTGTTTGCGCGTACAAAGCGCATAGATGATCGTGAGGACGCGCAACGCGCGATTGAAGTGCTCAGCACTGCCAGCGCTCTCACGCGCGATGGGGATCTCAACAAGCCAGCGATGCTTAGCAACCTGGGCAGTTCGTATGCAATGCGTTTTGGACTCACTAGGGACATCCAGGACCTCGACCGGGCCCTTGCGGCCTATCGGAGTGCTATCGCCCTCACGCCGATTGCGGATCCAGACTTGCGATCCCAACTCGACAACCTCGGCATCTTACTGACGAACCGGTTCGAAAGTTCTGGGGAACCTGAAGACCTCGAGCAGGCTCTTACAGCTTATCACAAGGCTCTTGAGCTCACGCCTGACGGTGACATATACAAGCCAATACGGCTCGGCAGACTTGCCAGCTCGCTCATGAAGCGTTTCGAATGTACTGAGAATCCGGATGATATCGACCAGGCGATTTCTGTATGCCTTCGCGCTGTTAGTCTCGTCGCTCGTTGCAGCCCTGATGCTCCAATCCTTTTCAATCAACTAGGAATGTTGCTTGATATACGCTTCAAGTTTAAGCGTCAAGGAGGAGTAACGGATGTTGACCAGGCCATCACGGCCCATCAGAATGCTGTCGAACTTACTCCGCATGGACACAGTTCCGATAGGTCACTACGACTCAGCACATTGGGCAACTCATTCTATATGCGCTTCCTCCGCACAGGGGACCCCAATGATCTTGAGCGGGCCGTACTGGCTCATCGTAGCGCGGCGGAGCTCATGCCAGAGGAAGATGCCAGGAAGCCATCAGTACTCAACAATCTCGGTGTCTCGCTTAGAGCACAGTTCAAACAAAGTGGGGAACTTAAGGGCCTAGAACAGGCCATATATGCATGGCGCCGCGCGGTTGAGCTTACACCCCCTGACCATTCTCACAACCGACTGCCCCTTCTTAACGACCTGGGTAACTCGCTGCTCGCGCGCTTCAAGTGTACAGGAGAGCTCAAAGACATCCAAGAAGCCGTTCATGCCCATCGGAGTGCTGTCCAGCTCTCAAAAGATGCACGCCCCGACGAGCGCTCAAAATCGCTCAGCAATCTGGGTAACTCATTATTCACCAGCTTTCGGTATATTGGTCAGCTTGCGGAGCTTGAGGAGGCTATTGTAGCTCACCGTGGCGCGGTCGAGGTGATGCCCGACGCGCATCCCGACAAGCCAACGTTATTCAGTAACCTCAGTAACTCGCTCGCTGCACGTTCCGAGCGCACCAGGAATCCGGAGGATGCTGAGCAGGCCATTTTGGCTGCCAGTCGTGCGGTTGAGCTTACACCCCACGACCACCCCGACAAGCCAGGTCGGTTCAATAACCTGGGCAACTCGTTCTGGGCACGCTATGAGCATACGGGAAAGCTTGAAGACATCGAACATGCAATCGCGGCACATCGCAGTGCGGTCGAGATTGCGCCGGATGCATCGTGTTTAGGCAATCTGGGAAACTCATTAATTGCGCACTTCGAGCGTACCGGGAGGCTCGAGGATCTCGAGCAGGCTGTTTCTGTGTTTCGACGAGCGGTTGAGCTCACGCCCGACGGATTTCCAGACAAGCCATCCCACCTCGGCCACCTGGGAAACTCCTTTGTCAGTCGGTTTGAGCATGCCGGGAGGTTGGGGGACCTTGAGCAGGCTATTTCCGTGTTTCGACGAGCGGTTGAGCTCTTGCCTGATGGGCATCCAGACATGCCATCCCGCCTCGGCCAGCTGGGAAATTCATTTATCAGTCGATTTGAGCGTACAGGGAGTCAGCAGGATCTCGAGCACGCCATTGTGGCTGACCGCCACGCCGTCGAGCTGACACTGGATGAACATCCTAAGAAGCCATCGCATTTGGGAAACCTTGCTCGTTCGTTCATTAGACGATTTGAGCGTAATGGGATCCTTGAAGACCTTGAGCAGGCTATCTCTCTGTTTCGGAGGGCAGTCGAATTGACCCCCGAGGATCATCCCGACGTAGCGGCCAGGTTGGATAACTTGGGATACTCGTTGTCTGTACGTTTTGACAGGACAGGAGACCTCAAAGATCTTGAGAATGCTATCTTGTCACAGCGCCATGCAGCTCAGCTCAGGCCGGGCGGTCTTGGGAGGTCCGGAATGCTTAACCTTGGCAATTCACTTCTTAGACGGTTTCAGAGGACTAATGATATCGAGAGTCTGGAGGATGCTATTATTCTGTACCGGAATGCCGTCGAACTGATGACTGACGATCACCCCGACAAACCCATGTACTTGCGCCAACTCTGCCATGGGTTGAGGCTCCGATTTGATCTTTCTCGCGAACCTGCTGACCTCGCATCTGCTATCACAGCAATACATCTGGCTACGGAGCTCACCCCCAAAGACCATCCGAGTCTACATCTATATCACGATGCCCTCGCTCGTTGTCTGACAAGCCGCTTTGGCCATCTGGGAGACATCAAGGACATCACGGATGCGATTGCTCTTCACACAAGTGCAACAACACTTATACCTCAAGACGATCCTCAGCTCGCCTTGCAATTTGATGTACTTGGTTGCGCCCAGAAAGAACTTTTCGACCATACTCAAGCTCAGCCCGACTTCGATATAGTCGTCGAGTCTCTCACAAAGGCTACGCTACACCCTTTTAGGAGTCCTCCTCACCGTCTGGAAGCGGCTGAAAGATGTATTTGGATGCTAATCCACAATGCATCATTTAGTACCACAGAGTCCCTCCTCTTGGCACATTCCCGGGCCATTGCTATTCTCCCGGAGATCATTTGGCTAGGGTATGATCTTCATCGGCGTCTTGAAGAGTCGTCCCGGTTGGGCAAATTTGTTAATGAAGCGGTGTGTACTGCCGTGGCCGCTAGCGCGACTGAGCAGGCCGTGGAGTGGCTTGAAGCAGGCAGGGCCCTCATCTGGACCCAGATCGTATCTCTACGCACACCGCTCGATGAGCTGAACGAGATCTACCCCCATCTCGCCGAATCTCTGCGCAATATCCAGAAGCGGCTGCAACTATCGGCTCACGACGCCTTTGCTCAGGATAACCATCCTTTCAGCAGTGTTCCAGGGCTCACGACCAACCCCGCAGCTGACAGTCATCGTCGGAGCGCCATTGATTACGATGATATTCTAAAACAGATTCGTGGTTTCCCGGAATTCGAAGACTTCCTGCTCCCGAAAAAGTTCAGTTCCCTCGTCTTTCCATTAGATATCCAGAATGGGCCTATCGTCTTCATTACTGTTCATCCAGATCGCTGTGATGCGATAGTACTCACCGGTGGTGGCGCGGTCGCGGTGGTCCCGCTCCCCGAGTTGACGTTTGTCGGTGCGCACTTGATGCAGCTTCTCTGGGCGAAAGGACTCGCCGGCTTCCGAATCCGGAGATCTGGTATCAAGCTGAATGAACTTCCCAATGAGTGTGACCTCGTGTGGGTACCGGACTTCGAAGTCGACCCTCACCGGCATACTGCCCTAGTAGTTGACGACGACGAGCTGAACATCTGCGCGCATGTTATGGAGTGCGCCTGGGAGTGGATCGTTGGTCCCATATTACGCGCTCTTGACCTCGCAAGTCTGGTAAGTATCATCACGTCTACCATGGTCTGATACTGACACTCACCCAGAAACACGACGACATCGCGCCCCATATCACTTGGTGCCCGACCGGACCGCTCACGCAAGTTCCTCTTCACGCTGCTGGGAAGTACAGCGACCCCGACGGCCCGCGCGCATTCGACCTCGTCGTGTCGTCGTACACTCCCTCCCTCACGGCATTGAAGCGGTGTGCTGAGGGGGTTGCAAAGCAGCAGGGCGACACGTCGTTGCTCCTCGTCACTCAACCGAATACGCCCGGGCTTTCTCCGCTTCCCGGTACCAAAGCCGAAACCCTCGTCCTTCAAAGCGCCTTAAAAGATGCTGGTGTTACAGTTGGCGCTCTCGACCATGCGAGAGCGACAGTGATGGCCGTCCGGGATGGGATGAAGCAGCACACCTGGGTGCACCTTGCCTGCCACGGGTCGCAGAACCGGAAGGATGCGACGCAGAGCGCGTTCCATCTCTACAACGGCCCGTTGACCCTCGCGGACCTCATGGGGACCGCCGCCGACAACGCGGAGCTCGCGTTCCTGTCGGCTTGTCAAACTGCGGTTGGAGATGCGGAGACGCCAGAGGAGTCGGCGCACCTTGCGGCTGGGATGCTCGCGGTCGGGTACAAGGGCGTCGTCGCGACCATGTGGTCGATCATTGACGCGGACGCGCCCGTTGTGGTCGATGCGTACTACAAGGAGTTGCTGGCTGTGAGAGGTTCGGGGAAGCTTGGGAAAGGGGAGACGGGCGCGGCGTATGCGCTGCATGAGGCGACGAGGGTTCTGCGGGAGAAGGTGGGAGAGAAGAACTTTCTGCGATGGGTTCCGTTTGTGCATTTCGGTGTTTGATGATATATTAGTGTTTCGTCCGCATTGATGTAGAGCTACTTCCCCTCTCATTGTCTCATGGCTTCTGACTGTGCTCGACTATTTTTCGCTTCAAACGAGAGCCCCCATAGAATAGATCTCTTGTGAACAGGAAACTGGTGCAAGCCAAGAGTGGTTTGCCACAGTGTGGAGAAATGTATTGATTTGTTGAATCGCCAAGATGGGCGTCGGAAGATAGATGCGGCGGTAGCGAAATGATGCTGCCTTCCTCTCCCTTCACCACATCATTTCCGTTTGCGAAGGAGACTAGGCGGTAGCGCAGGCCCGCATCGCTTCTCTCCTCTCACCGTCACCCGCATTGCGATACCCTTCCTCCTCGCACTGTACTCAGGCCACCGCATCATGTATCATGACTCAACCTTGAGCTGGCACATGTCCAACTTGGCGCTACCGTTGGGATGTGTCCAATATAAGGACTGTATACCAGGCTACCAGCTGGCCTATCAAGACGGCGACGTTCTGCAGATGGGTAGTTGGACCGCGAGCTGTGCCTAATGAATGACGCTACTGGGCATTGCTGCTGTCTTGTACAGGGGCGGCTGGGTGCGTACATCATGCCATCAACCGGGTATCATTTACTCATGCTTTACCTTCAGTTGCCCGAAGCTTGCGCGAAGAATGAACCACTCATCATCCTACGACCGACATGTCTTTTCTAGTTATAATATCTGGTCCGACTCTGGGCTAGCTACGTGCCCTCTCGTCGATCCAATCTTTCGTCGCTGAGTGCCCTATGATGATTAGTCACGGCTAGCGGTTGCGGAAGCCGGTTATAGGCGACGCAGCTGTCGTGGGGTACTGGTATGTGAATTCAATACTGCTCGTGGACCTTACGTTGATATCGGTTCTTGAAGGCCGTCTGCCAAGGAGAGAGAGACCATTCGACCTGGGGACTGCCTCTCGGGCAATTCACCCCTGCTCCATCATACCCTGAGCTCTACCTGAGAAGTAATGGACGACCCGCTACGACGTCGGCAAACTAGCTTATGCAACAGGAATGCGCGGCGCGAGCGCAGGGTGAGCTCTAGTTCCGCGTCTGTGCCAAGGGCTTGCGCCGGATACGAATGGCGGGGTGGGACGCGTGAGATACTGGCTAGGGTCTTGACGTATGATACATTGTTTTCGTCATGTGCATAGTAGTATCACCCAAATGAAATATGATTATTGCCCTTCATATATCGTTTACTGGTCAGAGGGTACGCGCAATCGTCGTCGAATGCAAAAGGCGCGCAGATTGATGGTCCTTCTTGCTGGTACTCAGCGTATCTTCAGTATCATGCGGGGGCATTTCACAGTGCATATGTATCGACAGTCCTGCTAGTGGGAGATGGGGTTCCCTCTCGCGATGGAAGATATAAGTATCGTGACGACATGGTGCTCGAAGACTGCCAACACTCGAGAAGGTAGCTTCCAGCTTCCACCACATCATGAAGACTGCACCTGAGCTGATCCATAAGGAGATACTTACACCGTACAGCTGTCGTGCGGCCAGGTGGTGTTGTTCCGCTGCATGGGCCACTCATGGACGTCCAGCAGCTGACATCTTACCAAGGGCTCGCTGCATCGCAATTGAAGGCTCACAGCCGTGCGGTGAGGGAACATCATTATCATGGCGCCAACGACGCGGCCTGTCAGTGTCAGGTTGGCACAAGGTTGGCAGTGGGAAGAAAGCCGCGGCCGAGGCGCGCCGCAAGTGGGCGGCGCGGAACTCGTGGTGCGCATGATGGCTCTCGCCGCCATCTTCTTCCCCAAGCCTTGCTCGGTTACACTGTTGTGCAACCAGAGATCGGGTGCTCAATTCAATCCATTTCTCCTGCTCTTGTAACGTAGTCTGTCCAAAGACAGTACATGCGCGAGTGTTGCGAGCACCTGACGGCTTCATCGTGGGGCTTCCTCCGGAATCGTGCGCCTCGGACGCCCGGCAGTAAGTTGGAAAGATCTGTGTGTATGCAGCACCTACATCAGGCGTAGAGGTCTATGCTACAGCCGAGGATCATCGGCTCATGCTTTTTCGAATATTTCCGGGGTGAGCCTAGTACCTCTCTGATCTGAGCTATCGCGAAGCGCTGACAACACCTCCGATAGGAGCTAAGCTCGGATACACTCCGTGGTCCATCTCTTCATCACAACATCAAGGCCCTCACATCTTTTGCTCGCTGTAGTGGGCGTTGATGAAGCGCGACGGTACTGACGGGGCGTAGGGGTGCGCTCCGCTCAGTCCTTCTCTCGGGAACCGGACCCTGACGTCTGTGTCTTCATAAGGTTCTTGCTGCGTATCTACCTGTGGAGGCACGCTTCCCGGTGGGCACGGACTTTACGAGACAGATAATGAGTAACGAAAGTGAGCACAAAACCATCTCTTCACGCAATTTTACCCTTTCTGACCCAGCTTTCCTAGGTTGATTGGCACGCTGTTTCCGGCCGATGAGCGCTTTCAGAATGAACACGGTCGCAAAGAGACACGGAGTGCTGTTCGGGGGCAAAGAGCGATGAGAAGAGATGGCTGTGCGTACGAGTACTCTGAGGGCCCTCTGGTATGGATGTACCCGAGATCATACGAATGCGACATTGTTACCCAAATGATCAATATCTTCGCACACCTCGGTGCTAGAGGCTCGCATCGCGAAGCCACAACCTGACTCGGCGTACAGATCATCCGTTCGCTTCCATACTGCGGCTGCTGTCCTATCAAACTATACCCTCTTCTTCACCCGCGCTCTGAGTCTACGTCTCAACCTTATACCTCTGACACTGATCATAGCCATGCATATAGATACGCGAGATCTCGCCTCCCTTCACCTCCGTCCTCTTTCCTACCATTGAACCATACTCAACGCGGCCTCTGCATTCAACATGGCGAGTACCCCTACCATGTCCGATGACGAAAGATGGCTGACAGTCCATACGCATCAAGGATGACCCCAACTCGAACCCATACGAATCCGTCCTCCACGATCAAGATCCTATCCACTCATACGCCCTAACTTCGGAGCCCGATGTCTCCTTCGACAATGCACGAGAGCTGGCAGATTATCTGTGGGCACTCTACGACGCACAGGTCGATAAAGACGTCACCATCGCTGATCAGGCCATCCAAGCCACGCGGAATGCAGTTCCGCTTGTCCAAGAACCGAGCGATCGCGCTCAGATCCTTTTCGATCTCGGCTTCCGACTCTATGGACGCTTTCAGACGACTGACTCTCTCGAGGATATTACGGAAGCGATCTCTGTGCTTCAGCGATCTACGGCACTCACACCTGACGATGACCCTTCCCAAGCGCGGCGTCTCAACGGACTGGGGGCTTGTCTTCAGGAGCGGTATACGCGTACCGGAGACCTCGACGATCTGCACAGTGCTATCACAGCTCTGTGTTGTGCCGTGGAGCTAATGCCAGACGATAACCCACGGAAGCCGCAGGTTCTGGACGGCTACGCCTCTTGTTTGCAAAGGCGTTACGAAGCGTTGAGCGAGCTGGAAGACCTTGAGCAAACCATCTCCACACTTTTTCACGCGGCTGAAATCGCATCAGATGACTATCCGGACAAGGCGTCGTACTTCAACAACATTGGGGACATGCTACGCTTGCGCTACGTGCATTCCAATGCGCTCGCGGATATCGAGCAGACTGTCGTAGCGTTTCGACGCGCCTTCGAGCTTACCCCATGTGGTCACGTTGATGAACCGTACCGTTTACATAAGCTAGGACATCTACTGTTCACGCTCTTTGAGCATGCAGACAATCTGGATGACATTGAAGAGTCCATATTGAGGCTCCGTCGTACGGTACTGCTCACATCGGATGACAGTTGCTGCAAACCTGCCCGGTTCAGTCAGTTGGGCATCTCACTTCTCGCGCGCTTCCAGCGAATGGAGCAGATGGACGATCTCCACGAGGCCATCTCTATACTGCGTCGCGCAGTCGATCTTGCTCCAAATGGTCACTGCGATGAGGCGCATACGCTATACTGTCTGGGGGTATCACTCCTCAGGCGCTATGAGTGTCTCGAGGTGTTGGAAGACCTTGAGGGATCTGTTTTGGCATTGTCCCGCGCACTTGATTTCGCGCCGAATGACCCATCCAATCTGGCATCGCGGCTCAACGATCTGGCCAGCGCGCTCTACAAGCTCTTCCGAGCAACGGACCGGTCAGAGCATCTGGAAGACGCTATCAAGTTGGCCCGTCGCTGCACGACCGAAGCGACGGCAGATGACGATCCCAACATAGTCAATCACTATGGAAATCTGGGAAACATGCTCCACGCGCGGTTTGACAGAACCGGCCAGCTCGACGATCTGGAGGATGCCGTCGATGCTCATCGCCGTGCAGTGGACAGTGCAACCTTGAACGGTCATCCGGACGATCCTTGGGCGCTGAATGGCCTTGGTAGTGTCCTGCTCGCGCGCTTCGACTCCCTAAAGAAGATGGAGGATCTCGAGGAGTCCATCCTTACGCTTCGTCATGCACTTGATCTGACGTTGGATGGTGCCAGTGACAAACTATCGTGGCTGCGACAATTGGGATCTGCCCTATTCAAGCGTTTCGACCTTTTCAAGAGGCCTAAGGATCTTGAAGAGTCTATATTGGCATATCGTTCTGTGGCAGACTTGACCCCACCAAACCACGAAGATAAGTCTCTAGCCCTCGAGAAGCTCGTCTTTTTGCTCGAAGAATCTTTCAAGCTTTCCGGGGAACTCGTTGATCTTGAAATGAGCATCGTGGCACGTCAGCAAGTGATCGAAATTACGCCAGAAGAGTGTCCGAACGATCTGGCACATCACTTGAGTAACCTTGGGAGCGACCTTCATCTGTGCTTTGCACGATTCGGGAAGGCCGACGCCCTCGAGCAGGCCATCTCGGCGCATTGTCGTGCGGTAGATCTTAGCTCCGCAGACAACCCCGATAAACCACGGCTTCTCGATAACCTGGCTGTCTGTCTTGGCACACGCTGTGAGCATGTCGGAGGAGGGCTGGAGGATATCGAGGAAGCTATTGCATTACACCGTCAGGCAATTGAGCTCACACCCGACGACAGCCCCGCCCGGCCACAGCGCTTGAGCCACCTAGGCATGTCACTTCGTACACGCTTTACGAACACAGATAGTCTCTTGGATGTGGAAGAATCCATCGCATCACTGCGCTGTGCCATTGATCTCACCCCGCCACATGATAATCGCGACAGGGCACAGCTCTTTCATTACCTTGGTGCATCTCTTCAAGCACGGTTCGAACGGTTTCGGGATTTCAACGATGGCGCCGGAGCCATTATGGCCCTTGGTCAGGTAGTGGTACTCACTCCTGAAGACGATCGTGATCTCCCCGCACGTCTATGTGACCTGGGAAGTGCGATGGCAAGGTGCTTCATGATTACCAAGACTCCCGGGATTATTGAACACGCCGTAAGGCATTATCGTCGTGCTATCGGTCTGACGTCAGATGAGCACCCCCATCGCTCAAACATGTTTAGCTCCTTGTGCATGATCCTTTCCAACTTGTTCGAGGAAAAGCACGAGCTTCGCGACATTTCCGATGCCATATCAGCGGGGCATCGAGCGATCGAACTGAACGCAGATGGGCGTGGTCCATTGGGGGTGCTCTGTCATCATTCATTAGCTTTGTGTACAATGGTTCGCTTTGACCATGTCGGGGACATAGGCGATGTCAAGGCTGCGATATGTCTGTTTCAGAAGGCGGAAGAGCTATCACCTTCCAACGACCCTCGGCTAGCAATGATACTCCACAATCTTGGGCATGCTTGGACAAAGCTGCTCGAACGTACTAACAGTCAAGCGGACTTTGTGTCTGCCGCCGACGCTCTCATGCGCTCAGCATTCCATCCAACAGGGCACCGCCGCGGCCTTATCGACACAGCTCATGATTGTGTTCTGCTACACCATAAATATCCTGCATTCAGCACGACAGACTCCCTCTTGAAAGCGTGCTCGCGCGTCATCGCGCTTCTTCCCGAAGTAATCTGGTTAGGGGACGATATCCATGGAAGGTACAGGCATTCGAACGAAGTCGGTGATCTCGTCAATTGGGTCGTGTCCATTGCAATCACCGCTGGGGCACCTGAAAGAGCTGTTGAGTGGCTCGAAGCGGGCAGAGCTTTGATATGGAGCCAGATTCTGTCTCTCCGCACGCCAGTGGAGGTGTTGCATGCCCACTATCCTGCGTTGGGGGAATCTCTCCGCACTATTCAACGGCAGCTGCACGCGTCCGCTCCGAATGCCTTTTCTCCAGATCTGCAAGCTTTCGGTGGAATCAGCGGCCTCGCAATCAACTCTGGGATAGAACGGCATCGTAAACTCGCCATTGAGTACGACGCGTTGGTGGAGAGGATACGCGCCTGCCCAGGTTTCGAGGACTTCCTGCGGGCGCGGTCGTTTGACGCCATTACACGCTCGTTAGAAGGCGCGAGCAGCGTAGTTGTATATATCAACGTGCACTTCGATCGCTGCGACGCCCTCGTATTCTCACCCCATGATCCGCTTGCTGTGGTCCCTCTGCCCCAACTCTCTGGACAGCGCGCGGAGCAGCTGCGACGTTTGTGGGCCGCTTCTTTGCGGAATGGACGACTTGGAGCGCGTGCGTCAGTGAAAGCGTCGAGTCATAAGGGCGAGTTTGGCTCACTGAAGTTGTATCTGAGGCGGATATGGACGTGGATCGTGTGGCCTATACTCGACTCTCTCGATCTGGGCAATCTAGTAAGCAAGATATCGTTCGGATATACGTTGACCGAGTGAGCTGACCTTATGCCTAAGACACAGGGAGACCGACTACCGCACATCACCTGGTGTCCAACTGGCGCTCTCGCACAGCTGCCACTCCATGCGGCCGGCATATACGACGAGCCATACGGCCTGCACACGTATGATCTTGTGGTGTCCTCATACGTCCCCTCGCTCTCCACATTCGGACACGCTCATGGGGTGTCTTCGGAGTCGCGTCCAGCCCGTGGAGCGCTGATAGTCACCCAACCCTCCACTCCCAATCTGTCATCGCTCCCCGGCACGGTCGAAGAAGGTACTCGACTCCGAGAGATCCTGGAGACATCCGGAGTGAAGACGACTTGGCTCAATGACCGCTCTGCGACCGTCAACGAGGTCCGCATCGCGATGAAGGAGCATCCCTGGGTACATCTCGCCTGCCACGGCTCACAGAATACCGGGGATGCAACACGCAGTGCTTTCCACCTCTTCGATGGCGTACTCACACTCTCCGACCTCATGGGCATCGTTGCCGAAGATGCAGAGCTTGCATTCCTTTCCGCCTGTGAGACTGCTGTAGGAGACAAAAAGACACCAGAAGAGTCTGCGCACCTTGCGGCCGGTATGCTCGCAGTTGGGTACAAGGGCGTCATCGCGACCATGTGGTCAATCCAGGATGCGGACGCGCCCGTCGTGGTCGACGCGTACTATAAGGACCTGCTGGCATTGAGGAGCGGAGGTAAGCTCGGGAAAGGGGAGACGGGTGCGGCTTATGCGCTGCATGAGGCGACGAGGGTTCTGCGGGAGAAGGTGGGGGAGAATAACTTGCTGCGCTGGGTCCCGTTTGTCCATTTCGGTGTGTAGTCGGATGCTGGCGCTTCTGTTCGTGTTGGGTTAGTCTAAGTATATGATACTGGAATCTAGTACGCGTTGACGTCGGTACAAGATTGTGTTGTTGTGGGCCTCGAACCTCCGTCTTGTACAAAAGGGTCCGACGGGCGGTTGAAGCCGCTAGAGCAGGCCCCACGCTCTCGGGCTTGACTTATCTCGGGTTCGAAAAAATTGTATTGTATTGACGCAGTCCAGGCGGCCCGACAGCGTGATGACAAAGAAAGGTGGTCATGGTAGGGGACAACTCGCGCTAGCACCCGTATGTGCGACGCGCGCTGGACTGGCCGAACTTACGAACCGACACATTCAACGTTTCACGCGTCTTGATTTCTCACCACCACCACCATCCCAGCATGTCTGCACCGCTTGTCGCATCCACCGGCTCAATCACAACGCCAACGGGCGTGCTATTCCCACACTGGTGAGATGGAAGACGTAGATGTCGCTAGGTCGTCTCGTCCAACGTGCGCTGTGCTTGAGATGATGCTAATGCAAATGTAGAGTACTGATAGAACGATCATCAGATCCGGTACTCGGCGCGTCGGTGCGATAGAGAGCGAATCCCCAATCGCTCAGGTGAGTCGTACTATCATCTATATTCTAGCGAACGATGCATATTAAAGGGTATGCACAGGAACCGAGTTCGAACGCATCCCACGCGACCGCACCCGGGACAAGTGGAATAACGGGCGAATAGAGCAAACTCACGTTGAGGTTCGTCCCGTCCTCTGTATGCTCCCCAAATGTCAATTCTGACTGCCAGTTGCTAGGACGAGCGCATGCTCTCTACGTCGCCAGGCGCCTCGCCCCCCTATCCGTACTCCTGCTCAGCCACATATTCTGGCCAGATTAGAAGTGCCTTATCACTCGTTCGCGGAATTCGTCTGTACTGGCGATATCTCACTTGTTCGTGCATCTTTCTCCCTCCTCGCTCTGCACCGCTTACTGAGTAGACGGCTAGCCGCTCTGGTGACGAGGGCGGAATCTCTCCAGCTGTAGATGCTGAGCGCGCAACGAACAAGACTTCCTTTGGGCTTGCGTGAGGGAGATGGGGCGGAGGACGAAGAGGGTGGTAGTGGTGTGAATACGCGCATGCTCGGTCGAGCGCGTCTTATGGTGCGCCGATCATCTTTCTCCCCCTGACGGCTCGCTAATCTCGCGTTCTTCACTAGAAGCGAAGGTCGTGTTATGATAAGGGATTATTCAAGGAATAATATCTGACGTTGCCCATGTCATCTCGTATCGTGCGCTCTCCTCGAGAATGAAGACCTTGTCATCTTTGGCGGATGTATTGATATATGCGGTGCCGTCCCTCTCCCTCGTAACTGCCAATCACTTGTATGCGTGATGTCGCTTACTAGCTCCCTAATGTACATCACTACGCGAGTGCATTCAGGACGAAACTTCCGCACCTCGTGAAGGCCGCTCTGGTCCTTCTCGCAGGATCCGTCGACTCGGCAACTTCCTGTGGGCACCGTACAAGAGCGGAGGCGTCTAGACGCATTTTTGTCAGTATAGCGAGTCCAGCCACCCAGTCGCTATCAACCTACGAGAGTACGAAGGTTCAGACGCTTGCGCGCGACTTGCCTTCGGCCTCGGCGGTCGTGTCGCGGCTCGCTATGCACTCAATGGACATACCAGCGCTCGATCACGCGATTGCCGCATATCAGCGCGCCTTCCCGCACAAGCGACGGAGATTTGGGCCAGGCGGAATGTCTCTTCCGGTCGGGCGTCTCTCTTACAGCGCTTCGAGCGCGCCGGGTCTCTCGGTGACCTCGACAATCCAACGACTGTCTTCAATCGAGCCGCAGAGTCATGTCGAATGGCGATATGCACAGGTCTGATGTACTGGTCAACTCAGGCATCTCCTTGCGGAAGCGCTTTACTCATTATGCGCGGAGACGCGAAGGACGTCGAGCGCTCCGTCGAAGTGCTTCAGAGTGCTTCGCGAGGCCGTGCTTCCCACGCCGGACGATGATCCCCGTAAGCTGTTGAAACTCAATGATCTCGGGAACACCCTAATCGCACTTTTCCAGCTCAGTAAGCACGAGAGATTCCCGAAGACCTTGCATTGACCATCTCAGCGTCTAGTCGAACACACAACGGGTGGTCACCACAAGACCTCGTGGCCTCATACACTCAACGGCTTGCTTCTTGTGCACTATCAGCACACCAGGAAGCCAGAGGATCTTCATCGTGCCGTCTCATTGCACGGTGACAACACCCCCAACGCTGTACCGCCCAACGGCACAGCCGAGGGCTCGCGACTGTTCATGCTGAGCAATTTGTTCTATGCTCAATGTAAGCGCGCAGGACGAGGTTCAGAACGCGACCGGGCGATCTCGGCGTGTCACAAGTCTGCCGAGCTTCTACCCCACTCGATAACCACTCTAATAAGGCGTCGCGCAAGACCTCAAGCAGATTGCTTTTCCCCCTCGCCACGTAGAGGAACCCAGTGCGCGGGACGAACATCTCACGAAACTATCTTACCTGCAGTTCTTGAGTTTTTGCCTTCGTATGCGCTTCAATCCCAGCCAGGACAGCGAGGACGTCGAGCAAGCAGTCTTCGCTCACATGGAGGCCGGCGGACTCCATCCAGACGATGCTCCCGCACTGGCATCCAGTCTCAATCGTCTAGGAGATATGCTCCTCACATCCTTCGATCACTCTAAAGAGTCTAAGACTCTCGATGAGGCCATCTATTCGTATCAGCGCGCGGTCACTCTCACCCCGGATGGGCACCCTCGCCGAGCCTTGTACCTTGGCGATTTGCGTAAGTCGCTCTTCATTCGCTTCGAGCATAGCGAGGAGCAAGGGGACCTTGAGCGGGCCATTGCGGCGCATCGTCTTGCAGGCAGCGGTTCTCCCGACGATATTTCGCGTGATATATCACGACTTGATACTCTGGGCTACCTGCTCTACAAACGCTTCGATCGTACGGGCATACTCGAGGACCTCGAGCAGGCCATTCAAGCGCTTCGATCGGCCACAGATCTCATATTGGACGACGATCCACGCAGGCCATCGCTTCTGAGCAATCTAGGCCAGGTGATCTTCGAGCGTTTCGGACGTAGTGGCGGGGTTCAAGATCTTGAGGAAGCTGTTGCGCTGCATTGCCTTGCAGTAGAGTTGGCATCAGATATTCGCTCCGACATGCCCGTGCTGCTGAGCAATCTGGGCAACTCACTGCTTGCGCGCTTCCGATTTGCCGGAGATCTCAAGGATCTCGAGGAGTCACTGTCCCTGCAGCGCCGTGCAGACGATCTCGTACCAGACAGCCATCCCAGCAAAGCATCATACTCGAGTAACCTGGGAAACTCGCTATTGACGCGTTTTGAGCGCAAGGGAAAGCTCGTAGATCTCGAGCAGGCGATCATGGCACATCGTCGGGCGGTCGAGCTGACACCAGATGGTCATTCTCACAGATCAGCATGGCTCAGTAACCTCGGTGTCTCGTTGCACAAGCGCTTCGAACAGACGGGAGACGTCGAGGCTTTAGAGCAAGCCGTCTCCGCGCATCGTCAATCGGTGGAGCTCACCCCAGACGACCATTCCAGTAAGCCATCGCGGCTGAACAATCTAGGTTCTGCTCTGTCATTAGACCACTCCGAAGATCCTCAGGATCTTGAGCAGGCTATCTCCGTCTTTCGACGCGCAGTCGACTTGACACCGGATGATCATCCGCGCAAGTTGATGAGGCTAATCCACCTTTGTCAAGAGCTTGGTCGTCGATCTAAGGCTAGTCGTGGGATGGATGAAATCGAGGGCGCCATTTCTGCTGCGTATGCGGCTCTCGAAACGGCTTCTGAACGCTCAGGTCCGGAGCTGTCTATGTGCTACAGCATTCTGGGCGTCTGCCTCATGCAATACTTTGAGCGCGCAGGTTCCCTTGACAGTATTAACACGGCAATCTCATTGCTGAAGAAGTCGTTGAACGTGATCACCGATGACGATCCTCGGATGACTACGGTACAAACCAATCTGGGAAAGGCGCAATACGAGCTTTACCTGCGCTCTCGACTGACGGTTGACTTCGACGGCGCAGTGGAGTCTCTAGTACAAGCAACGGTGTGCTCATCTGGCAGACCGGCACTGCGCTTTCAAGCTGCTCAGCGATGCGTCACCCTGCTATCCGAGAACCCTTCGCTCTCAAGCATGGATGCATCATTGTCAGCGCACTCGCGTATCATGGCCATTCTTCCCGACATCGTGCAACTCGAACATGCTATGCGTCGAGGTGATAGGGAGCCGCTATCAATCGGTGCACTTGTCAGCGCTGCGGTAGCTACCGCCATCTCCTTTGGCGTTCTGACCCTTGCCGTGGAGTGGTTCGAAGCTGGCAGGGCTCTCCATTGGAAGCAGGTCTTGTCGCTGGGAATGCCGCCCGAGGACGATCGTCGTGGGTATCACAAGTTCGATGGCTCTCAGCTCTCACAGCCATACGACCAGCTTATCGCCTCGCACTCACATTCAGACGGGCCGGTAGTATTCATCAATGTGGACGAAAGACGCTGTGATGCGTTGATTCTACGTCCAGACAAAGCTCTTACATCAATTACACTCCCTGATCTCACTCTCAAGAAGGTCCAGACCCTATCGCGCGTATGGATGTATTACTGCATGGGAGGTGTTGTATGCCATGAACGTGGTCTAGCAGAGCCAT